TTCCCAGAAGGCTCCTCTGTTCAGAAATTACCTAAAGTAGAAGCAAACACAGAGAAATTAGCCTCCCTTTCAACCGCCGTCAGCACCAAGCTCAAGCCAAAGAAAAACCCCTTCTATTGCTCTCGAAGCTCACAGCCGAAACTCCCCAACAAAACAGACCCAAAATCAACCAACCTCAGACCCTTCCTCTAAATCAAACTTCAAAAACTCTCCAACCAACCCCCTCCTTCTGATTTTTTTTCATATATATATACCCAAATAACAAATAAAATAAATAAAAAGACTTGCTCCTGTCAATCAGTAATGATGAAGATTTCAACTGGCATGTACTGTAGCGAGCAGGAGTGCAGGCGCGGTGCAGCAGCAGGATCAGGCGTGCAAGCAACAGGGGCGTGATTGCAGGATCAGGCGCGTAGAGGGGAGAGTGCAGGCTCAGACGCGCAGAGGCCCGGGGTGTGACGCAGCGTGCAGGCTGGGGTGCAGCAGGGCAGCAGAGCCTGGGGGCGTTGGGCGCGGGCTGGTGCAAGGCTAGGCAGGGCTGGTTCAGGAGAGAGGAAAAAAATGAAAAAAGAATTGATGGGGGAAAGGAGAAAGTTCCAGATGCCTTCCTCTTTTTCTCTTTTTGTTGTTTTCTTTTTCTTTTTTTTTTCTTTTTTTTTTTTGGGTTTGGGTTAAACGGGTTTTGGTTCTTTGGGTTTTTGGGCTTTTGGGTCTGAGACTTTAAATCAAAATGGGTTGGTGTTGGGTTTGGTTTGAGTTTTGGAGTGGGCTTTGGGTTTGATGGGTTTTGGGCTAGACTTTGCATTTCACCCCTCCAACTTTTCATTTCTTCAACTGGGTCCCTCATCCTTCAACTTCTTTCCAATCGTCCACAAAAATCCCCATTTTACTCATGAACCTAACAATAGAAGCAAAGATAACAATATATTAGTTAAAATAAAATAAAAATAAAATCCTATTAAAAATTTGAGTTATGACAATTGGGCCACGTTATTTTGGTTGAAAGAGGTGGATTTCATAGCCTTCAAGCAAATTTACGTGGCCCAATAAAAAGGCATGTGTTGGTTGGAGAGTGCAGGAGGCGAATGCCCCTAAAACTACTCTTTCCAATTTGAATTGATTTCTTCTACTGGTACATTTTTGGTGTATCGACCGATACATTGAAATATTGATCCATACATTGAAATTTGACCAAAATTAACGAAATTTGACTGAAACAAAATTAAATTTTGTACCATTTTGGGCTACTACAAAAACTGGTATGTACAGGTGATATCGGCCAGTACGAAACGGTATTAATAACCTTGCTTCAACCTCATCATGGGCACCTCCGACAGGTGGAGCTAAGGAAGTTCAGATAATAGATTATGGCTTCAAGCTATAACTGAGCAATATGTAGTTAGCAGTCAATTTTAATACATGTTAAAAACAATCTACTGAATTTAGAAGAGGTATAGAAACGCTCATGACAGAAACTGCTTCCAAAATAAATAAAATAAAAAGGAAGCTTCCATGACTAGGTGATGAGCCCTTGAGCTTGCAGCTGAGTTTTCACCTTCCCCCTTACTGTTCTGGCCTAGGACTGCAGCAAACTTTTTCTCCAGAAACTGCTCTATGTTTTGTTATGGGCGCAGTTTTTTTGTATGTTAATTATTTTGAGGATTTTCTATAGGTTGCACTGTTTAGGATTTTCTTGTATGTTATTTTGCTGTGTCTTAATTTTTTTTTTTTTCTTTTTGGGTTATATCTGGAGTTAGTTAGTTAGTATTATTTGATCCTATTGTCTCTACTTTAGAGTCTCATCATGACCGTCTTGCCATTCATGGAGGAACTACTGCTGTTGCTGGATCCTCTGGTGGTACCACCACCCAATCCTCTCCGCACAATGAAACATTTTGACTTTACCTTGATCCCTCTTTTATGTCATTTCTTACGAGACATGTCACATGGATGATGCAGGTTTTTATGTTTATGTTGGATTATGGTAGCTATGGATTCTGCTGGTGCAGCTATTATTTGGAATGATTTGAACTTAATTACATGAACACTGATTTCATCAACAAAGTTCGTTATTTTTAAAAAAATATCTCACTGTCTAACTTCAATAGTTTTAATTTAATTTTTAGATATAAATTTTCTTTCAAAATTAACATATTATATAAATGATAATTAAAATTTTTTTAAACAAATAAAAATACTTAATAAGAACTACATATATATAAGAAAAAATTTTAATTGTTGTTCATATAATATTAAATTTTCATTTGAAATTTATGTATAAAATGTTAAAAAATTAAATTAAAACTACTAAAATTGAATAGTGGGTGTTTACACAATAAATTATATTTTATTAAGTCATGTTACGTGTTAATGGGTAATATGAGGTTATATCAGATTTACTGATTGAGACTCAAATCCCTTGCTGCCTAAAAATTGATTTTGGGGAATAGTGATGATTATCTAATTAGTTGCAACTTAAATTGAAAAGAAATAGAAAGTCCTACGATTTAGGAGGAAGTGCAATTGAGGGGTCAAGTCAGCACTAGAATGGTATGGCTGGCAAGATCTAATGCAATCTTAACCTGATCTTATTGATGTGTTCGTTTTCTCTAGGAAGTTATCCATATTTTGTAACAGTTAGCGGGATGACAATTTGCATAAAGCAAATAAAAGAAAATTTCAAATTATTCAACAGATGGCTAGCCTTGCACCTAACCCAAAACTAGTTTTAACATTCTCAAAATTTTGCTTTGGCTCATAGATTTCATCTTCTAGCACAATACTTTGTAGATTTTAGGTTGTTTCCAATATTTAAATAGTTTAATTCTGAATTTGAATGGGTATTTATAGAATTTTAGAAATCCTAGTTGAAATAAAAGTAGGACTTGGAACAAAATAAGTACTTGAATTTTGGGTGCTCACGATGTGGTGCTGATACTCCGAATTACGTGTCAACACAAGACAGGAAATAAAAAATGATTCTAGACGGCTAACGCATGGTGTCGACATGCCAATTATGTGCCGACACTACACCCGCATTGAGTTTCTGGTTTTTTGCAATTTCTTCAATGGTAAAATAGCAGATCTGGTCTCCCAGCTTTTGCACGATGGCACTTAGATCCCAAAACTCAAGATTCATTCATTTAGGTCCCAAACAGCCCTTCTTCTTGCAATTCAGTCCCTCAACTTTCAGAAGATGTTCAATTAATCCCAAAAACTCCTATTTTTATGCATTCAAATCCTTTTCTACACAAAAAATAAGAACCATGTAAAATCTCATAAAACTCATCCAAATATCAATAATATCAAGGTAATAATTCCACAGTAATATGTATACAAATTCAACTCATCAAATATTTTATAAAATTAGTTATTTTAAATTTGTTTTCAATTTATAAAAATATATATTTATAGCGATAAATTTGAAACGGGCACACGAAAAATTTCGGTATCTGGTATGTATCATTCCAATAATAAAATCGGTACATTACCAATATAGTATTAACAACTTTGGATCGAAGCCTCCTTACCATGAGCAGCTTCCCTCGTTTGTATTTATGTACCTTCGTTAGTTGAGAACGTAGCTCCTTGAGTAGCCAGTGCAGCTGCTGACTGATGGTAATTCTGGCGAGCCTCAGCCATAAACCCACCAATTGGGGGACAACGGGGAGTAGTGTAAGCAGTTGCAGGCCTTTTGCCCGAACAGGCTCCATCCAGTTTTTCTTCTCTTTCTCTTTAACTCCACTGCTCGCTCAAATGGGGTTCCAATTGCTGTCACATTCAAAACAAAAGTGTTGGCCCCCAAAAATTAAGGCAGCAAAGTGCACTTGCAGCCCCAGCTGGGCTGGCAAAGTGCACCAAAATCCTTGGCTCATGCCAAGGTTCAAGTTTGCTGTAGTAACAATTGCAAAATCCCCACTTCCCCAGAGCTACTTGAATTCACAGCAGTGACAGCCTCTAGTCATTTTAACTTCAAGGTTCTGCAGGTTAAGAAACTGTTAAAACACTAGTAGTTCTATAATTAGAAATGTCAAAAGTATAAATGCAACATAACATCTATATGTACCTCATCTGAAGTTACAAACAGCTCGTGCAAGTTAATAAATTGAAATAAAAAAATAAGTTAAAACAATAATTCCATGGTATAGACTAACTACAACATCATCAAACGATAAAGCAGCAAGCTTTCTATACCTTTGGAATGTCTGTCAGAAGAATTTGCATTCCCTGCAGGTTAAGAAAATGGTAATACAGAAATTTCAGAAATAGAATAATGTCAACATTATTAAAAGATAATGCAGCAAAATATTACCAACCTTGTCCCAGTATTGGTTTGCCTCATCTACCTGGAAGTGAAATTTAAGAGGAGTTGGAAAGAGTCAGATAAAGAGTGATATAAATGTAATTAATGCATTAAATATTACCTAAAAGAAAAGATGATTGGAAGGAAGTACCTCCCAGTCCCACATTTCAAAAAACTTGCTGAATTCTTCATTAAATTTTCTTTCTTCCTCTTCCCTAACCTATATCAAAACAAAGATTAGTTAAATAATAGATCAGGGGAAAGGGAAATAAAAGTGCATTGTTCAACCTTGTCAACTGCATTTTTTATACATAGAATTAGCTAGGCATAAAGAAAAGTTTTGGATAAGAAACTCATGCGAAAGATCATCACGCCTTTAAACGAAAGGCTTTGCACTTCTCAACAATTTTCTCTCATCCTCACAAAATTTCACAAACAGTTCTTCCCATTTCTGAAGACTAATGAATTCACCCTACAATTATATAATTCAAACAGAGATCTTTAATTCAAAGTTTAGAGCCTAGCTAACCCAATGGTTTTGGAATAGTTGATCCCTTAGGGGTGTCCAATAATGGATCTCTAATGAGAATAGTGGACCTCTGCGTGCAGTAGGGATGTACTGAGATTAGCTTCATTACTAGAGTGTGTGTACATAAATACTAGTGCACAGTGGACTCCATAGCCATTTAGTGTATACTTATTGATTGTTTTTGGTGTTTATGTTTGTTCTGTTTTTGTTTAAGTCTCATTTATATGGAGACTAGCTAATTAAGAAAGGCATAATAATTAACCTGTTTTGTTGATGTACACCATTTCAGTTGATGCCTAATTTTGTTATGAAATTCTTATGCTAACTGTCATGACTTGGTATGTAGCATGCTGACCATCTAAATTATGTGCAAGCAAAATCTGTGATCAGCGTTTCTATTACTCTTCTAAATTCAGTAGTTTGTTTTTAGCATGTCCTAAAATTGACTAATAACTATATGGCTCAGTTATAGCTTGAAGCCATAATCTATATATATATATATATATATATATACTTACTGGCTTTCTCAAGCTCACCCTAGTGCATTTCATCTCATTTCAGACTGGTTTAAGAGGCGTGTCAAGCATATCTATCATCCTACCTACTACTCCAGAGAGTCAGTATGTCATTTGTGAGCATTTAGTAACACAAACCCGTATGTTTACCAAAACTAGAATTAGCTCCATTATTTTGTAAGCCTTTTGTATCCTTGCTTTACTAAGTCTGTTTATAAACACCTGATACTCGTCCACTTTCAGCTACATGTAGTTTTTTGTTAAACCTTATGTATATTTGATACTGAAACTTAGCTATTTCAGTCATGTACAAGCTTAACTATACTCTGTTCTCTTTCAAGAACTAATTAATGCTAGCTACTCTCTAGTGTTAACCAAGTCTTTGCAAAGTCAATTTCAATATCTTCATCCTTACCTAGCCAGTTTCAAAAGATTCTGATGGAATTTTAAATCCATTTTAAAAATGATAGCACATATGCTGAGGTTTTGTTAGTCACAACTCATCAGGAATACTATATAATTAAGCGTGGGATAGACACCTTTTGGCCAAAGTAGCATAAAAAACATGCCTTTCTCCATCAGATCAAATTCTTCAAACAATAGAGCATTTACTATTTATTGCTCTTATCAATTTCCACAATCTTCCCACAGTTAAAATGCATTCATTCCTATAAGAGTTACTGATGAGGTTCAGAGAGAAAAAAAAAAATCCGCTTGGGGTAACAAAAATATAATAACTCACCAGGAGGAGGAAAGCGCTACGAGCTTCAGCATTTCCGGCATCGGCGCAAAGTTTCAAAAACCGGTAAGCAGACTTCGACCAGTTCTTTGCTTTAATGGGTAAAATTTTCGAGGAGTCTTTGGATAACACAAGAGAATGAAGCGCCAGTCTATTTAATCTCTTGCATCTGTTACAAAAATTTTAAAAATCAGATTCAAAATTTATTCTAAAACAGAACCAGAACAGAAATTTAAAATCGTATACAGTGAATCGGCGACGTACATCATCAAAACGGTGACGAAATCCGAAGGACAACGGCGGATGAGCTGAGCTGAGCTTGGAGAGAATAGAAATGACTAGATCATCCGGAAAAGAATCAACAAATCGGACTCCTCCGCCGCCATCTCCGGCAAGAATCTCTGCCGTTTCCTGTAAGTTATGTGTTCGCCGGAGAAATCCAGCCGCTTCCCTGCTCTGTTCTCTGCCCACAAATTCGTTCTCGGCCCGGATGGCCGTTTCCTTTCTAATCCTATTAAGAGAGAAGGGGAGCAAAGTAAAGGCAAAAAGGCTAAATCAGCCCCTATACCCTTGAATTAGTAGCAATCAGCCCCCATACTCTTGAATTGGTAGGAAATCAACCCTCCCAACTAAAAATGGTGGCTTACAAACCCACAAACTTGAAAATTAGCCCTTTTTTGATGGCTGAGATCAATATGGGTATTTGTTTTGACCTTTTAGAAATAGTTATTAGTTATTGATTTTAATCAAATAAATTAAATCTTTTAAATTATAAATATCAATGATTATCAATTGTCAAATATCAACTATCAACTATCAGTTATTTTGAAAAACCCAATCCAAATAGCCTAAATATTTGGGTAAAACTAGCATTCTTAAACCCACATGTAGGTTGTTGTTGAGTGATGAGTTTAATTTTTATATGCATTTATATACCCTTTTTGAGCATAGAATTAAATTTTATGGGTCCTTTGTAACTTAGTTTCACCTTTGTTTATATTAAATTCATTATTTGTAGGTGAAAATTAAGATATGAATTAATTTTACAATAAGTGACAATTTGCACATACTGTAGTAATTTAACCATATCTTTTTCTCTAGGTATCGGATTGAGTTGATTCTTCAGGCGTTGGAAAGCTAAGAAGCAGAGCTACAATTGATGTTTTATGAGCTCAACCCAATTCCTTCTGTATCAATACAGAATTTAAGTTAAAATGGACGGTTTTGACAATAAACAGAGTACAGAAATAAAGAGATTTGGACTGTATTTTCTAAATGTGGGCCAACTACAGTCCAGACCCAAAATAAAGCCATAACCCATGTCTCCTAGGGTTAAAAGAAAGAAGGGTCTCTAATTTCTTGATATATATATATGCTACTCGGCAGAACAAAGAGGAGCCCAGAGCCGCATGAGAGTTGTTTTGCACAAGAGGTCAAGAGCACCAAGCCGCCCAAAATCCCAGCCACCCGCATCTGTTGTTCACTAGCAGAAGAAGAGGATAGCCGCACGAGATTGCTCTGCACATTGGAGGAAAAGCCGCCGCCCAGCCTAATTGGAGGGACCCGAATCCAATCTGCACAAGAGGACCCTGAAATCTGTTCAACACCGCCCAGCCTTGCTTCTTCTCTGCCAGCCTTGCTTCCGGACAACAGCACACCATTCGGCAAACTGCAATTCTCCATTGTTTGGGTTTTGTTGTTTCTGCTTTTTTTTTAATATGATTTTCTGTTGGGATTTATTTGTCATGGCTGTTGAGAACATGAACATGTGTGGCTAGATTTCTTTGAACTAGGGATGGGTGGATTTTAATTCTTGGATTACGTGACTATTTTTTGTTAGTTTAATTCAAGATTTATTGGTTATTTGCATGATGAGTTTATATTATTAAACTTAATGTATTGAGAGCTTGATCACCTTTCAATTGATTTAGTGATTTATGCATGAATTTGAGAAAGAATTGTGTAAATTAGACCAATAATAATATAAATCGTGTGTTAGACTGTGAGACCGAGAGGTAATTAGCTCACATGTGGTAGTGGAGGAAGAGAAGAGAGTTAGTAGCTCCCCCTTCTTAAGTTAGAGGTTTTCATTGAATTTAATCCTCATTAGTTTATTTAAAATTACATAGAGATATGATTAATTTAGCAAATAAATGAAGGATTAGCTTGACTTGAGAAAGATGGTTGATTAATTTAGGGAAATCACGATAATACTATTATTTGAACTTGAACTAAACAGTTGCATAATTCAGAATTAAATGAGATCCAAACCTTAGTTCCTTCTCATTCATAGTTTCTTTAATTTAGAAAATTCTTTAGTTTAATTTTCTTTAGTTTACTTAGTTTTCTTTTAAGTAGTTTAGTTCTCCCTATTAATTAGTTAATTCAACTTAGATTAGATTAATAGTGTCTTGGTAGTGTAGGATAGTCCTCGAGGGAACGATATCTTACTTATCTTATACTGCATAGTTGATTAGATTCACTTGCCTAAAAGTAGTGCGTATTTGGTGCATCAAGTTTTTAGCGCCATTGCTGGGGACTAGTCATCTACATATTAAGATTAATAATTTGGCCTTAGATTGAATTTTTTTTTTATTTTTTCTCTTTCTTTATTGATTAGTTGATTTTTTTTTATTCTTTATTTATCTTAGTTTTATTTTTTACTTTTTGATTTTTTTAGGATATTAGTGCATGACCCATAGTAGTGGTGGTGATCTTGTTCCATTTGATCAAGAAATTGAGAGAACTTTTAGGGAGTTTTTAAGAGAGAAAAAGCAGAACATCATGGCAGAAGAAGGTGAAGGACAAAATAATGCACGCACTCTTGGTTCATATGCCACCTCATCCCTTGAAGGAATAGCATCCAGCATTAGGAGGCCAGCGATTCAAGCTAATAACTTTGAAATCAAACCAGCTATCATTCAAATGATCCAACAAACTGTCCAATTCAGTGGTTTGCCTAATGAAAATCCTTATTTGCATATTGCTAGTTTTCTTGAAATTTGTGATACTTTTAAGGCTAATGGTGTTAGTAATGAGTCTGTTAAGCTTACATTATTTCCATTTTCTTTGCGTGATAAAGCCAAGAGTTGGCTTCAATCTTTTCCTGCAGGTCAGTTTACCATATGGAATGTTTTGGTAGATAAATTCATAGCTAAATTTTTTCCTCCTTCGAAATCAACTAAGTTGAGAAATGACATTACTACTTTTGTTTAATTTGATAATGAGTCATTATATGAGGCATGGGAAAGATTTAAGGAATTGCTTAGGCAATGTCCAAATCATGGTTTACCTGTTTGGCTCCAAGTGTAGACTTTTTTTAATGGTATGACTCCTCCTAATCGTTCTATAATTGATGCAGCTGCAGGGGGTAATCTTATGAATAAGACAGAGGAGGATGGTTATAAGCTGTTAGATGAAATGGCCTCTAATAGCTATCAATGGACTAATGATAGAGCTACCAAAAAGGAGTTGGTTTACATAATGTTGATGCTTTTACTTCCTTATCTGCTCAAATTTCTGTTTTGAATAAAAAGTTAGATAATTTAGGAGCGTTAGCAATGAGTATTTCATCTAATAGTTGTTGTGAATTGTGTGGGCAATTTGGTCATGCTAGTGTTGAATGTCAAGTAGGCAATTCAATTCAATCTTCTAATGAGCAAGCTAATTTTGTTTCTTCTAGTGGTAGGTCTAATTTTAATCCATACTCCAATACCTACAATCCAGGATGGAGGAGCCATCCTAATTTTTCATGGAGTAATAATCAAGTGAGAGCACCAGGAGGTTTTTAGCAACAAAATCAACAAGAAAAGAAGCCAAATTTGGAGGAGTTGGTGCACAAATTTGTTAGTAGTACAGAAGCACAGTTTCAAAATCAGGAAATAAGGTTTCAAAATCAGGAAATAAGGTTTCAAAATCAAGATGCTGCTATTCGGAATATAGAAACACAACTTGGACAAATTGCTGATATGGTTTCTAGAAGAGTTCAAGGGGGTTTACCAAGCAATAGTGAAAAGAATCCAAGGGAGCAATTGAAGGCTATCACTTTGAGGAGTGGAAAAGAACTTAAAGAGGTAGGACAATCTGATGGGAAAGAAGAAGGTGTGGAAGCTGGTGAATCAAACCATGAGGAGGAGCCTAAAAGACTTTTTCATGATTCGAATGTCAAGCCTTATAAGTTGAAAATCCCTTTTCCCCAAAGATTTTTGCAAGCTAATTTAGACAAGCAGTTTTCTAAATTTTTAGAGGTGTTTAAAAAGTTACATATTAATATTCCTCTTATTGATGTTATTTCGCAGATGCCAAGCTATGCAAAATTTTTGAAGGAGATCCTTGCCAATAAAAGGAAGTTAGAGGAGTTCGAGATGGTGAAGTTAAATGAAGAATGCTCTGCTATTCTTCAGAATAAGTTATCTCCTAAGTTGAAGGATCCAGGGAGTTTTTCTATTCCTTGTATTATTGGCAATGTTAATTTTGATAAGGTTTTGTGTGATTTTGGTGCTAACATTAATTTGATGCCTTTTCATGTATTTAGGAAACTTGGATTAGGAGAACCTTCACCTACCACAGTTTCTCTTCAATTGGCAGATAGAAGCATTAAATATCAAAGAGGAGTGGTAGACGATGTTTTGGTAAAAGTTGACAAATTTATTTTTCCTATTGATTTTATTGTTCTTGACATGGAAGAGGATTTTGAAATGCCTTTAATTCTTGGGAGACCATTCCTTGCTACTGGTAGAGCTCTTATTGATGTTCAACAAGGGAAACTTAGCCTTAGAATACATGATGATGAGATTGTTTTTAATGTGTTTGATGTTATGAAAAATTGTGATCATGATGGCAGTGCTGTTTTACGGATTGATGTGGTAGCCAGTGTAATTGTTGAAAATTTTAATGCTTCTAGATTAGATGATCCTATTGATAATTGCATTGTTAATGATTTGGATGTGAAAGCTAATAGTGCAGACAATAACATTTTGGAGGCAGCAGCTATTCTTGGGGAAAAATGCCATAGGCAACCACAAAAAGGAGGGAATTTTCTGCCCTTAGATGCATCGTCCACTGTGACAGTCAAGCCATCCAAAGAGGAGCCCCCGACTCTTGAATTAAAACCTCTTCCTTCTCAATTAAAGTATGTTTATTTGGGTGATTCAAATACATTACCTGTTATAATTTTTGCTTCTTTGACAGAAATAGAGGAGGAGAAACTCTTAAGGGTGTTGCGAGAACACAAAGGAGCTATAGGATGGAGCATAGCGGATATCAAAGGAGTTAGCCCTTCGGTTTGCATGCATAAAATTCTACTAGAGGGGCACAAGTCGATTGTTCAGCCTCAAAGACGCTTTAATCCTAACATGCATGAGGTGGTCAAAAAGGAGGTAATCAAATGGTTGGATGCAGGTATTATTTTTCCTATCTCTGATAGCACTTAAGTGAGTCATGTGCAAGTAGTGCCTAAAAAGGGTGGGACAACTGTGGTAAAAAATAAAAATGATGAATTAATTCCCACTAGAATAATAACAGGGTGGAGAGTGTGCATAGATTATAGGAACCTTAATGAAACTACTAGAAAAGACCATTATCCACTGCCATTTATTGATCAAATGATTGAGAAACTTGCTGGACATGAATATTATTGTTTTCTGAATGGTTATTCTAGTTATCATCAAATTCCTATTGCCCCTGAGGATTAAGAGAAAACAACATTTACTTGCCCATATGGTACTTTTGCTTTTAGACGAATGCCTTTTGGTTTGTGCAACGCTCCAGGTACGTTCCAAAGATGTGTGATGGCTTTATTTGCTGAATTTGTTGATGAGTTCATGGAAATTTTTATGGATGATTTTTCAGTTTTTGGCTCTTCATTTGATGGATACTTACATAATCTGTTTAGGGTGCTTAAAAGATGTGAGGAAACTAACTTAGTATTGAATTGGGAAAAATGACATTTTATGGTTAGGGAAGGTATAGTGCTAGGTCATAAAGTATCCTCTAAAGGTATTGAAGTTGATAAAGCTAAAGTTGAGATAATTGAAAAGCTTGCACCTCCTAAATCAATTAAAGAAATTAGAGGTTTTCTTGGACATGCTGGTTTTTATAAGAGATTTATAAGGACTTCTCAAAAATTGCTAAGCCTCTTACTAATCTCTTGGTTAAGGAAACACCATTTTTCTTTGATGATGATTGTATGAATGCTTTTAAATTGTTGAAAGAGAAACTGGTTAATGCTCCTATTGTTATTGCACCTTGTTGGGATTTGCCTTTTGAGATAATGTGTGATGCTAGTAATGATGCTTTAGGTGCAGTTTTGGGACAAAGAAAAGATAGGAAATTTCACACAATTTATTATGCAAGTAGAATAATGAATGATGCTCAAAAGAATTACACTACTACTGAAAAAGAGTTGCTTGCTGTGGTGTTTGCTTTTGAAAAGTTTAGGCCTTATCTAATTTTGTCCAACGTGATTGTTCATACCGATCATTCTACACTTAAATATTTGCTTGCTAAAAAAGATGCCAAACCTAGGTTGTTGAGATGGATTTTGTTGCTGCAAGAGTTTGACTTAAAAATTAAGGATAAAAAAGGTGTAAAAAATTATGTTGCTGATCATTTGTCCAGGTTAGATGAGGTGCATGTGGAATGTGGGGATGATTAACTTTTGCTTGATGAGTTTCTAGATGAGCAATTGTGTTTAGTTTCTTTGTGTGCTTTGTCTTCTTTACCTTGGTACGCAGATTTTGTTAATTACCTTGTGAGTAATGTCTTACCTCCTAACTTATCTTTTCAACAAAAAAATAAGTTCTTTTCTGATATTCAACATTATTTGTGGGAGGAACCATTTCTTTACAATATATGTGGTGATGAAATGATTCAGAGATGTGTACCACAAGAAGAGGTAGATGCAATTTTGAGTTTTTGTCATGACAAAGAAGTTGGTGGTCATTTTGGTACCTCCAAAATAGCATCTAAGGTTTTGCAATGTGGATTTTATTGGCCTTCTTTATTTAAAGATGCTTATGTTTATGTGAGTGCATGTGACCAATGCCAAAGAACTGGTAATATTTCTAGAAGATATGAAATGCCTTTGACTAATATTTTGGTGTGTGACATATTTGATGTTTGGGGCATAGATTTCATGGGTCCTTTTCCTTCATCTTTTGGCAGAGCATATATTATTGTTGCGGTAGATTATGTGAGTAAATGGGTAGAGGCTGTTGCATGTCTTACTAATGATGCTAGGGTGGTAGTTAAATTTTTGAAGAGTAATATTTTCACTAGATTTGGCACACCTAGGGCTGTTATTAGTGATGGAGGTAAACACTTCTGTAATAGGCAATTTGAAAATTTATTGGTTAAATATGGTGTTACCTATAAAATTGCTACTCCATATCACCCTCAAACAAGTGGACAAGTTGAGGTGTCTAATAGGGAATTGAAAAGAAATTTTGGAAAAAACAGTTAACTTGTCTAGGAAAGATTGGTCACTCAAATTAGATGATGCACTTTGGGCTTATAGGACAGCTTACAAAACTCCGATAGGTATGTCTCTTTATAGGTTAGTTTTTGGTAAGGCTTGTCACCTTCCTGTGGAACTTGAGCATAAGGCATATTGGGCTATTAAATACTTGAATTTTGATTTGAAAGATGCAGGTGAACATAGAAAATTGCAGTTGAATGAATTGGAAGAACTACGACTTGCTGTCTATGAAAATGCCAAGATCTACAAGGAACGAACCAAGGCATGGCATGACCTACATGTGCAAAAGAAAGAGTTTCATGTGGTTGACAAGGTTCTTCTTTTCAATTCTCGATTGTGACTTTTTCCAGGTAAGTTGAAATCTCGATGGAGTGGTCCTTTTGTGGTGACTAAGGTTCTCCCTTATGGAGTTGTTGAAATTTCACATGATACTAAGGAACTTTTAAGGTGAATGGGCAAAGGTTGAAAATTTATATTGAAGGTGGTAATTTTCCAGCATTTATTTGCACCATTTTATTGAAAGATCCTTGACCATTTTGTAGTGATAGTCAAGCTAATGACTGTAAAGAAGCGCTTAATGGGAGGCAACCCATCAAAAAAAAAAAAAACTATTATTTGACATTTTTCTGTTTTGCATTGAGTTATTTTATTTTTTTATTCATTTTCTTTTAACTAATTTGCGTTGAGTTTTTGGTTGAGTTAGCTTTTTATTGCACTTGTAGCATCTTAGGCACCTACGACAAGATTTTTTGGCTCTACAAGAACACATTGCATGCCTATAGCAGGAAAAGCAAGATAGGGGAGTATTGTTTTTCTTCTCTTATTCATTTATTTATTTTTTTTACATTGAGGACAATGTTAATTTTAAGTTTGGGGGAGGATATTTTTGTGTTTTGCTTCTGTTGTGGTTTGAAGATTTAGAGTATTGGATACATGCATGTGAATCTAATTTTTTAGCATGGAGTAAATATAGTCAAATGAGCCTATACATATTTTGTTGCATAGATGTTGCAAGTGAAGGATATTGTTCTTCTTTGATTATTAGCTCAAAATTTAGTAATACCTTGATGAGAGGAGTTGAGAGAGTTGATTTTATAATGGTTTGGTTGTAAATTATATGCATATTGTGAGTAGGTGTCATTGTTTCTGTGATGACTATCCTGTCTAATTATCCCTTAAAACTGCTTTGGAAAAAAAATATAAAAGAAAGAGAAGTCGAATGTTTCGTGGCCTTTGTTACTTGAGTAAGTATGTTCTTAAGGGTGTCTCTTCACCTAATGCCCTAAAGCCAACTGGTTTGGGAGTCATTGACAAAAAGCTTGTTACATGAGTAACTTAGAAAGCCTAAGGAAACTTGACAAGAAAAAAAAGGGGATAAGCCAGCACACAAAAGAGTTTGATAATTTCTACTCCAATGTTTCTAAGTGCTTAGTAATTGGGGGTTAGGCATGAGACCCATGTCAACTTTCACGTCAAACGGTAACTTGAAATATGAGTATGCAAAGCACTTTGAATTTGTGACTTATTGAGTAACCGAGTGCTTTCATCACAAATGTTAGTATTCGCGTAAAAAGATAAGTGATAGCTCAAGGAAGATTGTGATGTATGGCTGGAAAAAAAAAAAAGAGAGAAAAGAAAGGGTAATTACATGGTATGGTTGTTACATGTTTCAGTAATGCTTACTACAACTTTGCATGAATTTAATTAAAGATATTCATGAATAGGAAGGTGATAGTCATCAACTCCCTTGCTTGGTATTACTGAAATTTGAACTAAAAATCGAGTTGAATGTTGATGCTCCTTGTGTTATTTGTGTGGGGAAGAATGTACATGAGCTTTATTTTTTTTTAGCTTTCTTTTGCTTGAGGACAAGCAAGAATCTAAGTTTGGGGGTATTTGATGAGTTTAATTTTTATATGCATTTATCTACCCTTTTTGAGCCTAGAATTAAATTTTATGGGTCCTTTGTAACTTAGTTTCACCTTTGTTTATATTAAATTCATTATTTGTAGGTGGAAATTAAGATAGGAATTAATTTTACAATAAGTGACAATTTGCACATACTGTAGTAATTTAACCATATCTTTTTCTCTACATATCGGATTGAGTTGATTCTTCAGACATTGGAAAGCTAAGAAGTAGAGCTACAATTGATGTTTATGAGGTTAACCCAATTCCTTCTGTATCAATACAGAATTTAAGTTGAAATGGACGGTTTTGACAATAGACAGAGTGCAGAAATAAAGAGATTTGGGCTGTGTTTTCTAAGTGTGGCCAACTGCAGTCCATACCCAAAATAAAATCCATAACCCATGTCTACTAGGGTTAAAAGAAAGAAGGGTCTCTAATTTCTTGATATATATATGCTACTCGGCAGAACAAAGAGGAGCCCAGAGCCGCATGAGAGTTGTTCTGCACAAGAGGTCAAGAGCACCAAGCCGCCCAAAATCCCAACCACCCGCATCTGTTGTTCACTAGTAGAAGAAGAAGACAGTCGCACGAGATTGCTCTGCACATTGGAGGAAAAGCTGTCACCCAGCCTAATCGGAGGGACCCAAATCCAATCTACACAAGAGGACCTTGAAATCTGTTCAACACCGCCCAGCCTTACTTCTTCTCCGCCAGCCTTGCTTCCGGACAACAACACACCATTCGGCAAACTGCAATTCTCCATTGTTTGGGTTTTGTTGTTTCTGATTTTTTTTTACTATGATTTTCTGTTGGGATTTATTTTTCATGGCTGTTGAGAACATGAACATGTGTGGCTAGATTTCTTTGAATTAGGGATGGGTGGATTTTAATTCTTGGATTACGTGACTATTTTTTGTTAGTTTAATTCAAGATTTATTGGTTATTTGCAAGATGAGTTTATATTATTGAACTTAATGCATTGAGAGCTTGATCACCTTTCAATTGATTTAGTAATTCATGTATGAACTTGAGAAAGAATTGTGTAACTTAGACCAATAATAATATAAACCGTGTGTTAGATTATGAGATCGAGAGGTAATTAGCTCACATGTGGTAGTGGAGGAAGAGAAGAGAGTTAGTAGCTCCCCCTTCTTAAGCTAGAGGTTTTCATTGAATTTAATGCTCATTAGTTTGTTTAAAATTATATAGAGATATGATTAATTTAGCAAATAAATGAATGATTAGCTTGACTTGAGAAAGCTGGTTGATTAATTTAGAGAAATCTGTCATCTCACGCGATAACACTATTATTTGAACTTGAATTAAACAGTTGCATAATTCAGAATTAAATGAGATCCAAACCCTAGTTCCTTCTCATTCATAGTTTCTTTAATTTAGAAAATTCTTTAGTTTAATTTTCTTTAGTTTACTTAGTTTTCTTTTAAATAGTTTAGTTCTTCCTATTAATTGGTTAATTCAACTTAGATTAGATTAATAGTGTCTTGGTAGTGTAGGATAGTTTTCGAGGGAATGATATCTTACTCATCTTATACTGCATAATCGATTAGGTTCACTTGCCTAAAAGTAGTGCGTATTTGGTGCATGAGATATATTTGTCTTTTAGAAAAGAAAAAAATTATTATTAAAATGATAATATTATAACTATAATATCACATATATGTTATAGTTACAATGTTATGTGACATTAAATAAATATAACGTAACATTAAACAAGTGAATTTATACAATAGACAAACCCTTGAATAAAAATAATTTATTGTAAAATCATACATCATGTTGTTAGTTTATAATATCATGTGGCCTTACAACTATTGCATTTTCATTACTAAAAATAGATAATAGCATAAAATATATTGAAAATTATGATATTAAATAATTAGTTTATGGATATTTAAATAAATTTAATAGATTTTTTAATACTTTGTAATAAAAATTTATAAGACTAAAATTATTTTATCAAACATAATTTATTTGATTTAAAACATAATTAATTCTATGATTAAATTAAAAAATACACAAATATATAAAGGAAAAAAATAACTACTGCAAAAATAGCCTTAAATGGAATATAGACAAAAAAAATTTCATATAAATAGAAAAAAGATACAAATTAGGTAAAATATATTTATAAAATAGACACAAATTTTACAAAAATTATATCACTTATCTTCACTCAATTATAAACTTTTATTTATCAAAATACCTTTAAAGATTAAAATATTTACAAAATTATTAAAAATTTAAACTTATTTTTAAAGAGGCAAAAGAATATTTACCAAAAAAAAAGAGACAAAAGAATATATATATATAAAAAAATTTTGAACATAGAGTCGACCCTACGGTCTTACATCACTTAAGATTAACAGAGCATGTCTTCGGGCGTGATTTGGGTGTGATTTCCTAGCTTACGTGGAAGCCAAGCCATGTAGTATTCTGCAGTTTGACATGAACTACCATGTCATCAAGCCAGTTAATTAATATCATTAAATCTTAGTTACATATAATTAAATCAAAGAAAATCCCCCTTTTCTCTCCCTTCTCTCCTGCTTCTGCCTCCCTTCTTCAGCGCTATGTTGTTTTTGCTCGGAAGCCTTTGAGCTTCCGAGGTTTTGATGCTTGAGCCACCGGGCTTCTCGGCTGCTCAAGCATGCTGGAGCCGCCCTGTGCTCCCTCCTCCGATGACCCTTCTGGGTCTATCAGCTTTTGTGTCCCTTTTCGGTGATCCCTTTTGGTTTTTTTGTTTTTCTGGTTGTTGTGTTTTGCTTTCTGTTCTTGTATAGTTTATGTTTTTCAGATCAGGCGACCCTCGGCTCTATCTTGTAGATCTTGTTAGGTGCTTGTTGATTTTCCAGATCTGGCCACCGCCGGCTTGGATCTCTGCCGCGGCGTCCTGGAGATTTCGCACCATCCTCTCTGGAGTAGATTGAAGGGTGTTCCATGGCTGGATCGGTCGACCATAGGTTGCTTGAGTGACTTCACCTCCCTTCCTCCTCTACATCGAGTCTACTCTGCTTTGCTTCTCTAGTTTGTTCTTTTCTATGTCTGTTATCCTTATCTTTTTGGATAAGGTCTGAATGTAGATGTCGTATGGCAGTTTCCCTAATGCATTGCTAATTACCTTTTCCTCAAAAAAAAAATCAAAGAAAATGTGTTTTTTTCAATATTGATGGTATTTTTTTTAATAATTTAGTTATTAAAATTATAAAAATATTAATAATAAATAAATACAAAGGACATTTTTATTAGAGTATTTTTAATTATTTCAGTATTTAAACTGCATAAAAAAATATGCTGTGTACTAAAAAACACTTTTTTCAGATAGTTTAAATTACAAAACATAAATAATTAGATATATAAATTTATAATCTTTTGCAATATTAAATAAATATAATATACATACAGTTAATAGCTATTTTTAAAAGGTAAAAACAAACCCCTCTGACCTGTTTATGATTTTTTTTTCCAACTTTTTTACTTTACCTTATTTATGCCATGGTTGGAAAGAAAACTCCCATAAGTAGAATTTCCTTGTCATCACTAAATACAAAGATTTTTCTTTTAAATCTTTAAATAATTTAAATTTTAAAAACAATTAAATCTCAAAAATACTTAAAAATAAATTTATTGCCGGAATTTTAATTTGACAATACCACAGTTAAAACTATATGGTAGCACTTTTCCTTATAATTTTAAAAACAATATTTTTTTCCCTTCTCAAAACTACTCCTCTTTACTTCTCTTAAACCTCAACTCTATTAAGATGTAAACACAATAATTGAGAATTAACTATTCAAATCATATTCATACTATTCACACTTATTTATACTGTTTACATTTATTGTAAATATTTTATACCTTAAAATATTCTTTTTGTAAACACCTATATATAGATTATTATACATAAAGTATTATTTAAGAAAGCAATAAACCTTTCTTCAAATATTTCTACTTCTTTTGTGTTTCTTACATGGTATCAAAGTCATAAGCCCTTGGTTCTTCTCTTTTATCATCACTACTTGGTTTTTGAGTTGGATTTTCAAATCATTCCGAATCTAAAACTTTGTCGTTGGGCTTTCTTCTCTTGCAGATTAGATTATTTATTCTCAATTCTCAAGCCCTTTATTGAGTTGTTATTTCAATCTTAGCATTCATTTCTTCATATTTTTAGAGATTTTTTTCAGTATTATGTGTTCTACTTATTCTATGATGAGTTTTGACAAAATGGTGACTTATCTTGTTGCTACTGCAATGGTTGCCAAAGAAGTGATAGACCAACTTATTCTCAACCTTGAATCTCTAAAATATGTCATATTAAATCTTTTTAATGCTCCTACTACCTTATCTATTGCTCTTGGTACTAAATCTTGGTATTTTGATTCTGGTTGTTGTAATCATAGATCTTCAACTACTACTAATTTTTTTTTTAATGTCACCAAAAAATAATTCTTTTTCTAATATTTATTTTGCTAATGGCTCTCTTATGAATGTTAGTCATATTGGCAATATTTCTACAAATTCATTGACTTTACCAAATGCTCTCTTGGTTGAAAAACTTAATTAATTATAATCTTTTTTCTTTTGGTCAATTATGTGATCTTGACCTTGAAGTAACATTTTTTACTCATGGTTATCGTGTGTAAAACCCACAGACAAGACAATTTTTGAAACTAGCTGCAAGGTAAGGTGTATGTTTGAGCTTAATTATTTGCATATTCCTCATCAAAAAATGGATACACCCTCATTTCCAAATGACTGATTCATCCAAACCTTGCTTTGTGTTGTTGAATTAGAATTTTTGCAAACTCTATATCAACAAATCTTTTAAGCTTGTGCTACTACTAACATTTTTCCTCTTCATTTGTGGCATTCACAGCTTGGATACACCTTAGTCAGTAAACTTTATCCTCTTATCTCTCATGGTTTATTAGAATCTATTTCGAATGAATCATTACATTTTGTGTTATGTCAATCGGTAAAACAACTAGCTTTATCTTTTTCTAGTAGTCATTCTCTTTCTATTGCTTTTTTTGATCTCATACATTCTAATGTTTAGGTTCCATCTCTGACACTTACCATGGGGGGTTCTAGGTACTCTATGTTATTTATTGATGATCATGCTCATTTTACCTAGATATATCTTATGAAAAATCACTCTAAATTACTACAACTTTATGTTGATTTTGTTATCATGGTCAAAACTTAATTCTCTAAAATTATCAAAGTTTGGAGAACTGACAATGACATTGATTATCTTAGTACTAAACTTTAATCCTTTCTCAAAGAACAGGCTATGTTGACACAACAATTTTGTCCTTACACTTCTGAACAAAATGGGCGAACCGAACGCAAACACAGACACATCCTTAATTTTTTTCGTGCTCTGCTCATTTCGTTTTCTTGTCTAGATTAGACCTGGCAAACGGATGGGTTGGGTCGGGTTAGGGTCGGGTCAACTCGGGTGACGGGTTAGACGGGTTGGGTTATAAACGGGTTGCGGGTTGAAAACATCCAACCCTAACCCGACCCTAACGGGTTACGGGTTAACCCGCGAGTTAACCTTATTTAATTCTTTATAATTATTTTTTTT